TCTCTGACAAACCCGCCTCCACCCTAAAACACAAGGTGTTCCCACAGAAATTTGAAGAGTTTGGTGCACAGAGGGTAACCACAGCAACGACGAACCTCAAACCCCGCTTCTACCTAGGTTAAATCAAACCCCTACACTAAAGGCCTACCAGGAGGAAAAGCATGTCCATTTCTAGAGATGAAAACAATTTGTGTAAGTTTCTACATTTCTATCAAGATGTCCAGCTTTCAAGAAAAAATTATGAGGTAAATGAAAAGGCAAGATAAAAACCCAACACACTTCCAAGAGACAGCAATAATAAGAACCAGACTCAGACATGACACAGATGTTGGAACCATCTGACATGCATTTTTTAAAAACTATGATTAGTAGGTAAAGTCTCTAATGCATAAGGTATACAATATGCAAGATCAGATGAGTAATTTCATTGGAGGGATGGAAACTATAAAAATCAATTGAAAATGGTAGAAATGAAAAATACAGTATCAAAGATGAAGAATCTCTTTAGTGGGTCATCAGTAGACTCAACAGTGAGGCAAGAATCAGTGAAGCCGAAGTAAGGTAACTAGGAATTACCCCAACTGAAACACAAAGAGAAAAAAGAGGAAGGAAAAAAAGAAAAGAACAGGACACCTAAGAGCTGTGGGTCCATATGAAATGGTTGAACATATGTGTAATGGAATCCCAGAAGGAGAAGAGAGTGAGAGAGCAGAGCAGAAGAAATATTTAAAGAAATAATGGCCTAGAATTTTCCAAAATTAGCGACAGACGCCAAACCACAGATCTAAGAATCTCAAAGAACACCAAGCAACCAAGCAGTATAAATATTCACACACACGTGCATGCACACAAGCATACCATATTTGAACTTCTGAAAATAAAAGCAAAGAGAAAGTCTCGAAGGCAGCCAAAAAAAAGACAAATTATATAGAGGCACAAGGTAAGAATTATAGCAGACTTTTCATCAGAAACCATACAAGAGAGAAAGAGAGTGAATATTGTAGACTTTGTGAGTCACACAGTCTTCATTGCATCTAAGCTCTGGCATTATAGCACAAAAGCAGTTATGGACAATATGGAAACAAATGGACATGACTTAGTTCAATAAAAATTTATTTTTAAAAACAGGTGGTGAACCAGATATAGCCCATGTGCCATAGTTTATCAGCCATTGGTCTAAAGCAAAAATAATAGCAACACCTTGTGTGTTAATAGCATATGTAAAAGTAAAAGCACAAAGGATGGGAGGAAAGACTTGGAAATATACTGTTGTGAGGTCCTTACCCTACACACAAAGTGCTATCCTATTAAGGTAAATTCTAATTAAGGATGTTTATCGTAAGCATTCGGGAAATCATTAAAAATTTTAAGAGATGTAAGTAACTCAATAGGGAGATAAAATGGAATCATAAAAAATTTTCAATTAACATAAGTGAAGGCAGAAAAAGAGAAAAAAAGAACAAATGACACAAATAGAAAACAACCAGTAAGATGGTGGATTTAAATCCAGCCACATCAACAATCACATTAAATATATGAGCTAAAAGATAAGATTGTCAGATTGGATAAAAGAGCAAGACCTAGCTATATACTGTCTAAAAGAAAACCACCTTAAATGTCAAGACAAGGAAATGTGATGGTGGGTACGTGACTATATTCATTGGTCAAAACTCATAGAACTGTACAATACAATATTACTATATGTAAATTTTAAAAATCAAAGAGGATGTAGAAGTAAAGATGGAATGCAGATGGTGACACATGACTCTAAATGTATTACAAATGGATCACATAACCACAATGTAGAGGATGGAGAAGAAAGGAACTGACCTAATTTTGGCAAAAAGTGTTTCAACTGGATACTATTAAGCTAAAGACTAAAAGAACTGGACACAAACACTGTACTCCAGTTGATAAATTTGTTTCTCACAGGGGCATAGGTAGCAATTTTGAAACTGTTTTATTGGGGTACTAGGGTTGAAAATATAAGTAAATAAATTGTAGATGATAGGAGCAGGGTTCTTGCTGTTGGAGAAAGAAGCTACAAATAAGTACGTGGGGAGATGGCTAGAATGTACCTTGTGGTCTGAATTGGAGTCAGATATGAACTCAGGTTTGTTATTTGATGGATGGATGGATAGATAGATGATAGATAGATGGATAGATGGATAGATAGATAGATAGATAGATGGATAGATAGATGATAGATGGATAGATGGATAGATAGATAGATAGATAGATAGATAGATAGATAGATGACAGATAGATGAATGTAGATGCATGTCTATGCATGGGTTACTATACATACATATATTTTTATCTCTCTCCACTGAGAGGGACTAGAAGCTGTGACACTCCAGTAGCAATGAGCACACAAGCACCCAGGTCTTGGTTTCTAAATACCATTGTAAAAAAAAAAAACCTAGGTTTCATGGGAGAACTGGTTGATTCCAGGGCCAGAGCGGAGAAAATACCAGTTCAAGGTGGAGGATCTTGTAGTACCAGAAAGTAAGGAAATGCCAAAAAGAAAGAAAAGAAGGAAGGAAGGGAGGAAGGAAGGAAAGAACAAACAAATGAACAAAGAGACAAAAAGGGAGAAAGAAAAAAGATGGGCAAACATGTTGAAAGAGCACAGGAGCCAACCTGCAAGACCTCCCAACAGCCAAAGTTGGAACTTGTCTGACAAAGTCGTATCAATCCATACTGATAGAAACAATAACTGAATAAAGACATGAATTGTGAAGACAAAACTCTTCCTTAAAGAAGAATTCCAATTAATAAACGTAGAAAGAATGACAAAAATAGAAAATCACCATTCAAATGCCACAGTGATAATTGCTGTGGGCGGGACACACCAATGGAAGCTAAAGTTAGGAGCAAAGGTAAGAGCAGAAACAGTATTTCCATGGTTTCAAAATAGTTAGTAATTACATCGGGAAATTACAGCGGAAAATCCCGGCAGACACCACCTTAACCAGGTGATCAAGGTTAACATCTCCAGAGATGCACAGCGACACCAGGTGCCCCCTGATAGGATGCACTGGGAAGGCACATCAGCTCTGTAGCCCTCTTCCCAGTAATATAACAACTTCAATCTAATCATGAAAAAACATCAGACAAACTCAAATTGAGGAACCTTCTAACAAAGTAACCAATTAGTACTCTTCAAAAGTGTCAAGATTGTGAAAGACAAGGAGGGACTGAGGAACGGCCACAGACTGGAGAAGACTAAGGAGACAGGACAACTCAATGCTTTTGATGATCCTAGATTAGATGCTGGAACAGAAAAAGTAATTAGTAGAAAGACTGGTGACATTTGAATAAATTCTGCAGCTTAGAATTAGCCCAAAGGCCCAAGGAGTTTGGGAGAAGGAGCTGGAGAGTTCTGGGTGGAAAAAGAGGCTACAGGCTTTACTTAAGCAGATGGGGTGTGATCCAGACCTTGAAGGATCATTGTATGACAACCAGTAGAAATGAATAGAGAAGAGATTTTGTGGGGGGAGGGGTAAAGGTAGATCAACAAGTTTATCAAAGGTTTGGCAGTGGGAAAGTCCAAAAGCTGTTCAGGATTCACTGTGCAGGTCAATTTCTCTTTTCACAAAGAGAAAATTTCCTTATGGGTTTGTTGAGTGGTTAATATGGGAAAGCAGACTGAGACCAACACATCATGGCCTCAAATGGCAGCCTAAGGAGTTGGTACTTTATCCTGACAGCTCTCAAAAACCACTAAAAGCTTATAAGCAGGGAGTGAGATACTATGAAACCACCATTTTATGAAAATGGATCTGGCCATGGTAGACAGGCCATACAGGATGGTGGGAAGGCTGGGCAGCAGAAGACAACTGACTAGATGGCTTCTGTGATGGTCCAGATATCCGGTTATAGAGAGAGTCAAGCAATGATCAGGAACTGATTGCCATGGAAAATTGGTGATGGGGCAACACATTTCCAAATTTATCAGTTTTTAAGTCGGTGAAAATGGATAGCTCCAGCAGTACCACCACCCATCACCACATAGGCTCAAAGTGGGATGTAGCCAGCACCTCTGTAGGTGCTAAGTCCTGAGCCTGCCCTGTGAAATGAGAGCACTTGTCACTTCCCCCACATTTACGTCCTGCTTGGATGTAGGAAAACTGATCCTTCATTTGTTTCCACATCATCCATTAAAGAAGGGTAAGAGATACAGGGAGAAAAAGTGATTCGGGGACTTCTTGTATGTTTCCCTGCCTGGGGCCAAGGTGGGTGTCTGTCTACATAGGCTGGCTGCTTTGAGAAGGCTCTGACAACCAACCTTTCCTAGCTCCAAAACAAAAAAAAGCAAAGAAAAAACCCACTATCTTAAAATCCCAATGAAATTGCACTTCCTGTAAATATTAGACTGCTGATTGCTATTGCATGACTAATTGCTCTCCGTATTACAGATTCCTCAGCTCTGTGGAATATACGAGGGGAAGGGGGAGGGAGCCTCGAGGGGGTGGAGAAGCCAAAGGCAAATTTCACCCACTTCACAAAGGTGCTGTGGGCCCCTGGGGTCCAAGTCCTGTCCCTACTGCCTCTCATCCTTCGAATGGGAATTAGACTCTGGAGATTCCTATTAGGAGCCAACTTGGAAAACTCCCTGAAAATACACTCAATATCACATGCCGGTACACACATCTAAATGGCATTTTCTTTGCATTTCCCATGTTAATAGGATAAAATATTGGGAAAAGTCATTTTTATAAATTGGAATTTTATAAATATAGACCATGGTTTATCATTCTCAGAGAACTCCATGAGAAGGCAATCTATTACACTGAATAGATGAAGAGACCTGCACAAAAGCCCAGAGCAAACCAATTAACAGAAGGTAGAATTGAAACCCCAAGAGCCTTGTTATGTCTTTGGTGTCCCCAGATTTCCATCGCTAATTCCACTCTTCAGTGAGTTCTGTGCCTGAGAAGCCAGCACATGGGGAAGCTTGAAACCTCAAGGCGCTCCACCCACCCCCTGCCGTTTACCTTAGCTGCCGGGGAAAAAGCCTTGTCTTTCCCATTTGGAGGGCATATTGGCAGGATCCCATGGAATTTCTGTTAACTTCAGATGGAGGTCCCTGCTTATGGGAGCCTTGGCCTCCTGCTTGATTTTCCTCTTTCTCCTAGCTTTCTCAGCAGGCTCGGCCAGCACTTCTTGGCTGTTGTTAGCATAAGCATGGCTGGCTCCCCTCCAGTCTTGCCTTTCTCTCTCTTTCCTCCCGGTCTTGCCCCTCAGCCCACCTCCCCTCCCATTTTCTCTCCTTCTCCATTGTCCTTGCATTTGCTCTCTGCGAAGCCTCCAGGAAAAGTTCATTGTTGGGTGGCACGATTGTGATGACCCCACTGGAGTTATGATGTCAGCATTTGGTGGTGTTCAGAGGAGGGGAGAGAGAGGAGAAGAGATGAGCGAGGACTAAGTAAGGCTGCTGCGTGGAGCTGGTCGAGACCAGCACTGGATTCAGAACAGGCCTGGTCAACACCGGAGCCGAAAGAAAGCTTGGAGCATAGCACAACCAAATCCTTTCATGAAATCGGGTTTTGCTTTGCTGATTTCTAAATTCACAACAAGGTAACCAGAATTACCTTTTCACAAAGCTGCACTCCAACAAATTGATAAAACCTTGAGGGAGGAAATTCCCAATGTATTTTCTACAAAGCATGCATTATCTACTAAGTGTACTATTAAGAAATTCCTGTAATAGACATTATTGGGGAAAAAGCATCAATTCCAAGAAATTTAAGCTATATAGGAACTCTTTGAAATACCGAAGTCATAGATAAAGACTAAATACTAGGTTCTTCTATAGTTTCTTCAGATCTTGTCAACCCTTCCTTATCAAAATTTGGGGGCTAAAAAAAATATTCTTTTGCTTCTTGAATTGCGATTCTCATCTTCAAAAGTGCACATCAGAGTACAATATTCTACTAGACCAGAGGGGGTGTTACTGAGACCAGCATGTTCAATGGGCCACAAGATTCCAGCTTCTGTGACGCCCCTGCCAGCCTCAGCAGAATAAGATCCTGTAGCTTTGCGTTTTCCCAACCCTGTGGTATTGGGCTGCACAGATATATGTCTGTTAGCCTGAAATGAAGCATGTAATTTTTCCTGGTCTTCTCTGCAGGTCAGACCACACAAAACTGCATTCACTGCCGGCCACCATACTTAAGAGCCATAAGGATAGCGACACACCTGTTCGGAAGGGAAGGAACCAGCAGGAAAGGGGAGGCCAGAGCATGCTCTGAGTGTAATAACCGAAGTTATTCAACCTGCAAAAGAAGATCCAGTGTGGGGAGTGGGAGAGGGAGAAATGGTGGCCTAATATCAAGGGCTGACACACAAGGACAAGATTACATCCGTCTGTAGATTCTAAAGGGTCTGAAGGAAAAAACTAGCTGGATTTGTGGTCACTATAAAAAGGACCTAAGGAGACAGGTCAGGCCTGTGCAGAGATGATCTGGGCTGTGTCTGGAGCCTGGGAGCTCCCAGCTGGACCTCCAGTTGGAAAGGGGCTATGGAAGGTTCTGGACATGAGACAGCAAATTGAATTAGATTCGTTAATGCTCCTCCCAGCCGTAACTCAATGGATTAGCTCTATCCTTTCTCTCTGTCTTCCACAGTGAACTGCTATATCTTTCGCAAAACCAACTTGAGAATTCTGGGTTCAGCCTCGCTGTGCACCACCGGAGTAACCCACAGAGGAACGGTGGTCGTGTAGAGATGGGCAGGTCAGGCTTGGAAAGCTGCCCTCCGATTCTGCTGTCCCTGGATTGAATTAGCTGCTCTCCCCACCCCCTGCTCAGAGGATGACCAAGTCCTAGGGAAGCGCCATGTTGGGTGTTTGTGAACAGAGAAGGAGACCGAGGCTGCTGTCCCAAGAGGAGAGAAGGGACAAGAGAACTCTGTCTGAAGGGATTCTGTGAGGAAGCTTGTTCCGAAAGATACGTCTGAGTTTCAGATCTGCCCCTGGGCCAGACCTCAGGCTCTATCTGTAAAGTAACCCAACTTCCCAGGGCAAAAGTTGCTGTCCCAAATCACCACACTAAATTTGACCTAGACCTCAGCAAAACTCTGTGTTTTTTCCTCCCAAAACAGTGGGGATATAGGTCCAGTAAAAAATCCCACAGGTCTTTCTGGAATCTGGGGTGTCCTGGATAGGGAGTGGAGACCTGAGTTCTGGTCACTGCTCTGTCACTTATGAGACCCTGCACATGTCACCTCAAGCCCTCCGTCTCCACAGTGGAAAGTGAGGAAGTGGGGAATAGAGGGTCATCAGTTCTGACCCATCACTGCCTGTCTGTGGTGTGACTTCATGGGTATAGACCATCTTGCATCATCACCCCTGCCCGCTGCCTGCCCAAAACATACCCACAGAATGGTAACTGTCAATCCTGGCCCCATGACACCCCTGGGCATCTCTAATCATTTCAAAGGATGTTGAGATAGTTTCAGAAGAAGGAATTAATGTAAGTTCACTTTAATTTAAAAATAGATAACATCCCACCCAATACTTTCTCCTCTCCCCTCTCCTCCCCTGAGGATGTCTAAGTGAAGGTTTGGGGATCACTAACCTAATTAGAGGAAATTCTGAGCAAAGTATAGCATACTTAAGATAAGGAATCAGTTGGGAGTTTCTTGAATTTCAAATGGGAGGGAGAGTTGGAGGCAAGGAGCGAGCGAGGGATGGGCAGACAAGGATTTATCCCTGTCCCAACACTACTCAGTTTGAATTCTCTTCTATCACATCCTGCTTTGTAATGCTGAATCCACCAGAGTCCGATCTAGCTCAGACAATGCTCAACTCAGCCACAGTGTCCTCAGGAGACCCAGACACAGATGGATCAGCCAGAGAGCCTCAGAATGACGGAGCATCTCTCTGACAGACATACACACCCACTTCCCCAGCATCAAACATCTGACTACATGTCAGGTGCCACCACTGCCCCGGTTTCACTATTTCTCCACGCAGTCTAAGCTCACGCTGCGCTGGATCACTTTCATTTCTGTGTGCTTGCCCTGTTCGCTTCTACCACAGGGACATGCTGTTCCCTCTACGCGGACTCCTCTCCTCTCTTCACCTGGTTAACCGCTACCCATTCTTTAATCTTAATTCAAGCATCACTAACCTCCTCAACTATGTCAATTCTCCCTGTTAGACACTCTCACTGTATATATTTTATTCAAAGTATTTATTATATTTAAAATGTTCCATTTGTGTGTACAATTATTGTAAAACCTCTCCCCAGCAGGCAGACTCTGGAGGAAGGAAAAGACCTTTTCTGTTTAAGTATCTAGCACAGTGCCTGGCACTTAGTAGGTATTCAGTAATTATTTTCAAATGAATGCTTAAACACCATATCATGGGTCAAAAGCCTAGTTGCAAAAATATATTCATCATAATAAAAATAATAAAAATATTCTCTTCCTAATAAAAAGAAACTAACTAGGCATATACTGGTGTTAAAAATACCACTGCCGGGCCAGCCCCATGGCCTGGTGGTTAAGTTTGGCATGCTCCACTTTGGCAGCATGGGTTTAGTTCCCAGGCGTGGACCTACACGACTCATTGGCGGCCGTGCTGTGGCAGCAATCCATATACAAAATAGGGGAAGATTGGCACAGATGTTAGCTCAGGGCAAATCTTCCTCAAGCAAAAAAAAAAAAGAAAAAAAAAAAATACTAGTGCCCTTATCATGAATGAAGCAGGCAGGAAGTCCCAGAGAACGCACTCATTTATGCAACCAGCCATTTCTGGGTGCTTACTATGTGCAAGGTACAGTGAGGGGTAAACGATCAAGAGATGCCTCTGTCCTCAAAGAGCTCAAGATCTAATAGATATCCAGTGTCTCCAGCAAGAGGAAGCAAGGACAAGTATTTCAGAACAATCTGCCCACTGGGGTGGGAGAAGGGATTGGTAAAAGGGAGAGGGAATATGCGCTAACAAGAGACATTAATACAATGTTTCTATTCACAAATGAGAAAGGGGCCTTGGGATATCTCTATAAAACCTAGGAATTCACTGGACAGAAAATGACCATTCTCTGTAAGATTCGAATCAAATACCTCATTGTCGTATCTGATTGTGCCAGTGCCTGTCACTAATCTGTGCTAGACAAGCGTTGCAGAGTGGGGTTATAATGATTCATGCTAAAAAAAGCAATTGGCTAGAAGAGACACCACAGAGCATTTCTAGATAGGAACACGGTACATGTCATCGGACACCTGCAGAACAGCTCCATGAACAATGCTAGACAAGGAAGGAAGTCCTAGGGCGGGCTGAACAGACAACACGCATTTATTTTCCCTTTACTTCCAGATATCACGTTAAATTTCAAAGAAACTTCAGAAGTTAAAAACTCACAACAATGAAGTGAACAGGAGGGGCATCTGCAGTAGAAAAGATATTTAGGGGCTGGCCCGGTGGCGCAAGCGGTTAAGTGCGCGCACTCTGCTGCGGCAGCCCGGGGTTCGCCGGTTCGGATCCCGGGCGTGCACTGACGCACCGCTTGGCAGGCCATGCTGTGGCAGCGTCCCATATAAAGTGGAGGAAGATGGGCACGGATGTTAGCCCAGGGCCAGTCTTCCTCAGCAAAAAAAGAGGAAGATTGGCAGATGTTAGCACAGGGCTGATCTTACACACACACACACAAAAGATATTTAATCAAATTTGGAAGACAAAAGCAAAGGGAAGGATTGACTAAAGAAATAACACGGAGCAAGCTATACCCTGGAGTACCTGCAAAGGCGCTGCAGCCCGGGAGAACCTCGAACAGAAGCTGCCGCCAGAGCTACACGGCTCCCCCAGGTCAGAGCCAGCTCCCTGACTGTTTACTCGAGAGCGACCTCCAGCAGGCTTCCTACTCCACCCTGCTAAATAAAAACAGACAACATGAATCACCAGCCATCTGAGGAAACCCTGCAGCATGAAAGAGAAAGAATGACAGACAGAGGGAAACTTAACTCCAGAAGAAATAAAAATAATGAAAAGAACAGAAGGTAAACTAATAGGAAGAAATCCCCAAATCAGAATCTCAGAGAGGTTTGGGAAGATAATCCGTTCAAAAACAAACAGGGTAATGCTGTGAAAGAGAAATAATTAGAGAACAAAAAAGATTTTTTTTTTTTTGGTGAAGAAGATTAGCCCTGACCTCACATCTGTGCCAGTCTTCCTCTATTTTGTATATGGGATGCCTCCACAGCATGGCTTGATATGTGGTACATAGGTCCTCGCCCGGGATATGAATCTGTGAACC